ATGGTAACTGGCTCCCGTTTGGCCAATATCGCCGGTTAAATGCAGCTACAGTTCCTGATCGTTACCCAGTCTCGCACATTCAAGACTGTATGCAAGTTTCAGACGGAAAAGCTATTTTTCACAACCCTTGATCTTGAGCGGGCGTATCACCAAGTGCCCGTTAACCCAGCTGATATTCCAAAAACTGCTGCAATGCTGCTCAAAACGTTCAACGCTTATGAATCAGGTGTTAATCGCCTCGACTTTTGGTACCTTATTTTGATGAAGTCTTAATCACCTCTCTTCAGAGCAGACACCTATCACATTTGAGAACAGTTTTGAACGTTTCAAAGGTACCATGTCCAGTCTTAATCCTTTCAAATGCGTTTTTGGCCACCAAGAGTATCCTTCTTGGTCATGAAGTTTCCGCTGATGGCGTTCGACCCTTCCAGATAGAATACCGCTATCCACGATATACCCGAACCATCTTCAGTGAACGACTAAGAATCTTTACCATGCTCAATTTTTATCGACGTTTACCTCTGCAGCGACCATACCACCTCTAAAATTCTTTTTCGTTGGAAGCAAGAAAAACGATAAACGTGTTATAACCTGGACCACAGAATCTCGCGAAGCGTTCCAAAAATGCAAAAATGATTAATTTCGGCACCAAATTTGCAGTATCCTTCCGCATCTAAAAAATTATCACGCTAGTCACGTGCACCTCGACTGGTCGGGACTTATATTTATTAATAATAATATAATACTGAATACAATTAATTACTTGTATACATTCTTACCTTGGAGAAGCAAATTTAATCATTACATCATCAAAGTCGATCCTTCAAATTTTTCTTTTCCAACACTTTAAAAATGCTAGATGCTTAGGGATCTTGGCCCATCGTTGATTGTAAAATGTGAAATTTATTTAATTGCTGAACGAACGTTCATAGCAGCATTTGATAACGAAAATAGTAAGTAGTATTTAAGTGCGACTCTTAGGTTGGAAAACTTTTCTCTATAGATTGTAGTGGAATTTTAGATTCCGTTTCTTTTCTACTGCGGAGTAAAGTCATGAAGTAACATTCACTGCTCAAAAACAATTAGGGATATTTGGGTTCGGTATGAAAACCATGAACGATAACCTTTTTGAACAAAAGGAAATAGAAGAGATTATAAAGGGAAATTATAACGTTTAAAAAGTTGGAATATGCAAATTGTCTGGACGTCGAAAACTATGAGTTTAGATAAGGGTGAAAAGCGACCTGCAGCATTCCTTTTGTAGTAGAGATTAAAAACAATTGACAAGAGTTTACTGTTTGCAGCAGTCAGTCCGATGTCTCAGCAAGATGACTTAATAGAATCAGTAGACTAGAAGGCCATCAGTCGTTTAGGAGAGTCAAATGCAATCATTGTAGCGGAAGCGTAGGATTTTCCAAAATGTCATTTCCAGATTATGGAAGCGGATTTTGGAAACTAGATATGTTTTGAGAATTCGGGAGAAGGTCGTGTTATCGTTTTTAAAATAAAAAGCGAGAGTATGCGTGCATTTCGTTTAAAAAAAAAAAAAATATCTCTACCTGAGAAATAAAATGGTCAGAAAAGAACGTTTGGTTCATGTACTGCAAACATTTTATTATAAATTTATCAAACAAATGAAGAAAATAAATAATTAATTATATTACAATAGTTATTCAGAAGTCAAACAACAAAATCAGCGTTATACCTTACAAAATTTTCACAGGACTAGTTTCGATGGTTTTACCGAACCATCATCTTCAGCTGCAAAACCGCAAATGAACAAGATAGGAAATAATGATTTAGATAAGATAAGAAGCCTGGACAAGAATAAGCAAGTGGCGCCATCTGTTTGGCGAAACCAGAACTAAAACATAATTTCTCTAAAAGCCGAAGGCAAATTTGGATTGGAATTAGGATCGTTAACTAGAACAGAAAGAATTTTTATGAATGTGAAATGCCTCTAGAAAATCCAGTTCTCCAATGGAAGATGTTTTTGAATAATTTTGGCAGCAGAAAAATTGAAAGTGTGATTTTCGGACCAACAATGTTGAGCAACAGAAGACTTCTGTGTTTCCTTTTTTCTAACATATGCCTCATGTTCCTTGACGCGAAATTTTAGGCTCTCTTAGTTTGGCCAATGTAAATTAAACCACACTGGCAAGGAATCCTATAAATACCCCAGGAATTCATATCCGGAATGGGGTCTTGAGTATAGAAGTTGGAATTTTATTGATGGGAGAATAAACAACCCGAAAGTTAAATTTCTGCAAAATATGTGCAACTTTATAGCTAATTGATGGAAAGAAGGGAATGACAACAGAATTTTTATAATCTCCTAAAATAAGAATGTGGCTTTTAGTGTGTTGAGATGAGAATTTTTTAAACTGCTTGATTAATAATGTTGGGTGAAAAGCCCCTGTCAATAGCTATTGCTTTTAAATAATTTAGTTCTTCATCAAGGGCTAGTTTGGAGGAGCAAACTTGAAGAGCACGGAAAACATAGGAATAAAATGAAGCTAACTTTTGTTTAGTCGGATGACATGATTTAAAGTGTGGAAGGCAAACCGATGAAGGTTTACGGTAAACTGTAGTACTGAAGTTGGATGTGTTACGTGTGACCAGAAATGTCGAGAAACGGAAGAGAATTGCAAGTCTCAAGTTCAAGAAGTGAATTGAATAGCAGGATCAATAGAATTCATTGTTGAAAGAACTTTATTTAAATCATCTTTATTACCTTCAAACAGGGTAAAAGTATCGTCTACGTAGCGGAACCATGCCGGGAAGTTTAAAGTTTCAAACAATTTTGATTCATAATAATGCATGTAGATATCAGCCAGGATGGGACTGAGGGGGCTTTCCCATGGCTAATCCCTCAGTTTTGCTTGTAATTTATTTTGGAAAACAAAATGTGTTTGTTTCAAACAGAGTTGAGTGAGAGAAATTAGCTCATCAATTTCGATGCAAGAGAAATGAATTCGCGAAGTCTGGTTTCTAGACATCTTAATGCACCCTCCACTGGACATTGGTGAATAATGATTTTACATCAAAAGAAAACCATGAGTAAATTACTAGGAGAAATGTTTTTTAACCTTTTTTACAAACTCTATTGAATTTTTTGGTGTAAATGTTATTGTCTAATAGAGCGGAAATCTAGAAACTAAAATTTAGCTAAAGGATACGAGGCAGTACCTAAATTTGATACAATAGGGCGGAAAGGAATACCACTTTTATGAATTTTGGAAAGAGCATATAATCGGCACAATTCGCAACAGATGGGATAAGCGAATGTTTTAAGTTTGCTTGAAATGATTTGCGAAGATTTGATTCGCAGTTTTTTTATTTTGGATAAGTCCGAAGGTGAAGGATCTTTAGGGATCGGATTATATGGTCCTTCGTTTTTAAGAGTTTAGTGACACCATCGATGTAAGTGTTCTTATCCATGACGACTATCTGGCCACCTTGTCGGGCCTTTGAAATGATAATATCCGGGTTAGAATGAATTTCGCGCATTGTAAGCTCTTTCTCTCCCAGTTAGATTTGGTTTCAAAGGTTTATTATTGAATTTCACATTATGAGCGACAAGATGCCTAATCATTTCTTTCTGTGAATCTGAAACTTTACTGAACTTGAAAGCTTTTTTCGATAGGAGCCAAAATCTTTGGAATCGAGGGTTTACAGGTTTGTGAGAAGTTAAAATTATATTTTAGAATTCTCTCTTGTTCTTCTGAAAGACTAACATTAGAAATATTAACTATTGCTTGATGTTTACAATGGTAAGATTTTCTGAACTACTTGAACTGGAAGACTGTAAAAGAAGTTTTTCGAATTTAACTGCAAGGGTGTTTTTATGACGGTTAACTGCATTCTCCGTTCTAGACCAAGACTTTTGTTCAAGGGCAGTGAATTTTGGATATGATTTAGCGAGTTCCAGATGAAGCTTATAGAGTTCATGTTCAATTTTGGACAATTGTTGACGTGTATCCCTTATCACGGACCGAAGTAAGGCAAGCTTGCAATTTAACAGAATTCTTGAAACGCGATTATTCTCCCATCAATAAAATTCCAACTTCTATACTCAAAGACCCCATTCCGGATATGAATTCCTGGGGTATTTATAGGATTCCTTGCCAGTGTGGTTTAATTTACATTGGCCAAACTAAGAGAGCCTTAAAATTCGCGTCAAGGAAAATGAGGCATATGTTAGAAAAAAGGAAACACAGAAGTCTTCTGTTGCTCAACATTGTTGGTCCGAAAATCACACTTTCAATTTTTCTGCTGCCAAAATTATTCAAAAAACATCTCCTTGGAGAACTAGATTTTTCTAGAGGCATTTCACATTCATAAAATCTTTCTGTTCTAGTTAACGATCCTAATTCCAATCCAAATTTGCCTTCGGCTTTTAGAGAATTATGTTTTAGTTCTGGTTTCGCCAACAGATGGCGCCACTTGCTTATTCTTGTCCAGGCTTTCTTATCTTATCTAATCATTATTTCCTATCTTGTTCATTTGCGGTTTTGCAGCTGAAGATGATGGTTCGGTAAAACCATCGAAACTAGTCCCTGTGAAAATTTTGTAGGTATAACGCTGATTTTTGTTGTTTGACTTCTGAATTAGTATTTATTCGGCGTGTTTTGTGTCTTAATTATTACAATAGTTATTAATTTTAAATATATTTTCCAGTGATCGAACAATATAAAAACTGAAATTTTCCGGAAAATCTTGTTTGGAGACCATTTGGCGCCCCTCTACGAGCGGCGCCCGGGGAATCATGCACCCCTTTGCCCCCCTGTGTCTACGCCACTGTACAAACGCCATAGGTTTCAGTGTTAAAGTAAACCAGATCGTCCCTACTCTTTCTTGCCGACATGTTGGTGACGTGCGCCCCGCCCACTGGGTTTGTCTATCTCTTATAAGGTCCATGCTTTAAACGCGGTACCTTTGACGTCAACGTGACGTATATTTTCGACCAATCAAATTTTCCTGCCGATTTGAAATTTAGTCGCCCCCCCCGAGATAATTAGCGTTATACTAGTACTTCTTTGCTTGTACCACACGAACCGTTCTGCTGAAATGTAAACAAATACAAGAGCTAGCGTCCTTTATAAACCTCGATTACGCCTACTTGAGGAGGAGAGTTCGTGTGAAAATGCAAAATGTGTTTTTAAGGTGGTAAATTGTGCAACGCGTTTGATGAGGGTATTTGGAACTAGAAATACGTCATTAGTTTTGGTAGTACTGTATTAGTTTGAATTGTGTTTTGAAAACACATTGTGTAATAATACTATTTAATGGATCAGTGGACTGAAGGTAACTCCTCAGAACTCAGGATGCCTGAGGAAATACGCTCCGAAGTAGATGATGAAGTTCGCATAATTCTCCCATCTTCAAATTATAAGGAACTTCAAGTATAGTATAAATTTCTGTAACATACGACTTTCTATAATTCTCCCCTCCACCAGCATTGTTAAATTGTTTTTAGGTGCTGCTGTGAAGTATGTTTTCTGTGTAATCGTCGGCTACCAAGTCTGTACTCTTCCACCTTGTTTTTGTACCATAATATTCTAACGTTTTCTTATTCCAAATAGTACTTTTATTTACTTTTATTATCATCCTACCTCTGTTTGTTGTTGATTTAAAGTGCAATTGTTTAATGTTAAATCAGGATTTTGAAACAAAGTTTCATATTTTACGACGAGTCATGTTTCTGCAATATGCTTAATCACTATGAATAACATAGGCCAAGAGAATGTGATCATATGCATGCTTCGTTCTAAACGATAGGCATATATGTTTTAAGGAGTTTTCAGTAAACTTAAAATGATTTTTGCAATAGTTCACGGCTTATTTGGGATGTATTTTGTGACTTAAATGTTTGTATATTTGTTTTATTCAAGCAATGCTTAAATAAAACAAATGACTACATTATGTTGGTGCCACGTTTTAATGTAGCACCAACAGCTGTCATAACTTATGACTACATTAAAATGTTTTGACAGTTGTTGGTGCTACATTAAAATGTGGCACCAATAGCTGTCTAAGTCTTACTAGGTATAACATAATTTCAGCATTAGTTCACAGTAAGTCACCCTATAAGTATTGTAGTTGAGAATCTTTTTATATTTGGCTGCCAGTGCCTAACTAAAGAAAAATAATTTAAAAAATATTTAGTAAAATGATTAATCAAATTTTTAATTTTCAGAATGATAATATGGGTTAACATTCATTTGTTCACAAATTCATTTATGTTGTTGTAATTTATCTCACTTGTCTGACAGCAACATCAGAACAATCCCATGAAATTCATTGTGGCAAGGAGTGCAAGATTGTGCACACCATTGGCAAGAACCTGGAGCACCTTGCAGGTGACAGTATGACTTTGCTTAGTTCTGTCCCCAATTTTGATGGAGAGCACTTAGGGAATGGGTCCGGGGGTCTCCTACCCCTCTTCCCCTACCATCAACCTCTCGGGAGGACTTGGGGCTCGCTGCATATTTAGAGTGTCTCCATGCTGCACAGACATTATACATTTAACTAACATTCATCCCTTCTCCGGAATTTGAACCCAGGCCTTTTAGTACGGCATTTAGAGTCACTAACCAGTATCCTGGTTAGGTGACAAAAATTCATATATTGTTTTTAATAATGTACAGATGTCACCAAGACAAAATGGAGGAAAGTGCAGAATCGCCCACTGCTTGCCGCGTTTTTAAGAATTGCACATACTCGGTATCCATGTACACATCAACCTATTTTCACTTAAAAAACATCCCAGAAATCTACAAAAATGGCATTGTGCACTCCCTTGACTTTATCCGTGTACATATCGACCATGTTTTCACTTAAAACGTCCAATTCTTCTTACTCTTGTAAAATGCGCCAAACAAATAAGTGGGCGATTCTGCACTTTACCCACAAAATGAATTATTTCTGCAATGTTACAAAAGATTGAGGGGAAAAAAAAATATCCCAAATGAAATTAAATGCATTGGCTTAAAGAGGTTACTCCATAACGATTACATTTATCCAAGTTGATCATTGTTCAGGAAGGTGGATAACTTCGCTAAATTATCTTCTCAGGAATGTGTCTACGTTTTTTTGAAGATAAGTTTGTAGCTTGAAGAAAGCAATTTTCGTACAGAAGTTAGCAGCTTTATGAAAGCCTTATGTGAATTGAGTCCTGATATAAGCTTAACATAAACGTATAACTGCTCACCCAATCTGAATTTAAAAGCATAATCTGTTGCAGGTATTCAGTAAGTCATGCATATGTTATTTATATGTTATATATTTTGAAATATATACCAAAATATATGTATGGGTGCCACTTGGTGATAATTGGTGGTACATGGACACCGAATTTGTGCTGTTCTTTGACTTTTTATTTTGGCATTGTGTAGCGGCGATAAATCGCTGCTACACAAATTCAAAGTAACAAGTCAAAGAATTGCGCAAACTTGGGTTGATCTTTGGATTATGGTAACTTGGCGATTTGTTTGGTGACCAACTCTGCTACAGCAGCCCTCTATTTTTTTTCCGCTGCCATTTTGTCTTCACGAAGTAAAGACATGTTTCTTTTCTTTTTATTTACTGAACACTTTTTCCAACAATCTACTAGCCGAATTACACTGATGCTAGAAATTTTATGTAACGAAACTGCTTAATCATGACAAATATTAACTGCAAAATTGGGAAAAAGTGCAGAATCGCAAACTCCTTGCGCATTTTTCAGAATAGCACATACACATAAACCATTTGCACGTCGACTTATTTTTACTTAAAAAATATCCCAGAATTGCACAAAAATGGCATTGCACACACTCTTAACTTTATCCATCTACACTGCTATTTTCTCAAAAATTACAAAAATTTGCACGAAAATGCAGGAAAATTTTCTTAATCTTTAAACTCGATAAAAAGCACATGTATGAAATTACCTGATCACGAAAAAGTACATACCCTTTCCAAGGATGAACATTTCCACATATAAAATAAATAAAATATCCAAAAGCTGTTACCTCTAAATTATCTATTATATTATAAACGTCACTAACGAATTTATACGCAAACATTAAAAGTAGTTACAAATACTTAGTGTCAAATATTTAAATTATTTCCATACACGTTTACTTCAACTGAAACATATACGAAATTCCTACAAACATAAAATTCACAAAATAACTATCATTTAATTAAAATATCACTAAACCATGTACACGTTGACTTATTTTTACTTAAAAAAAATCCCAGAATTGGACAAAAATGGCATTGCCCACACTCTTCACTATATCCATGTACACTGCTTTTTTGTTATAAATTAGAAACATTTCACGAAAATGCATGAAAATTTTGTAAATCTTTAAATCCAGTAAAAAGAACATATATGAAATTACCTGATCGCGAAAAAGTATATACCCTTTCCAAGGATGAACATTTCCACATATAAAATAAGTAAAATATCCAAAAACTTTTACCTCTAAATTATCTATTATATTATAAAACGTCAGCAACGAATTTATACGCAAACATTAAAAATAGTTACAAATACTTAGTGTCAAATATTTAAATTATTTCCATACACGTTTACTTCAACTGAAATGTATACCAAATTCCTACAAACATAAAATTCACAAAATAACTATCATTTAATTAAAATATCACTAAACCATGTACACGTCAACTTATTTTTACTTAAAAAAACATCCCAGAATTGCACAAAAATGACATTGCGCACACTCTTCACTATATCCATGTACACTGCTTTTTTCTCATAAATTGGAAAAATTTCACGAAAATGCATGAAAATACTCAACGTATACTACTCAAACGTATTCCAAAATACTACAAATATATAACTCACAAAATCACGATCATTAAATTAAAATATAATTAAATTAAAAAATGCTACTTAAAATATAAATAAGCACATAAATTAAATTAATAAAAATTAGATTACAATCCTAATTACATTAAACTAAATCATTGCTAATAACAATTTTCCAATAATACCACATTAATTTATTTACTCCTTACATTTAGAACAATGCATAAAGATAATATCCTCAAATGATTAAAAATACTAACTTACCTAATCTTCTTCACTATCTTCATTACGTGGCTTTAGTACTACTGCTAATTTCTAAATCCTAAATCCAGTAGTCAACTGGAAGTCTATTCACCAAGTAATAAGAAATTAATAAAATTTCACCTATACTCAAAGTACTTTCAGCAAACCACGTACCCTTCCTTACACTCCTTTTCACAAAATGTCCATTTTCACCATATTTCTTGCACCGCCATTTAAACTTAATTGTAATATCCTTCCTTTCACACAATCTCAGCTTATTTTTATTATCAGATAAACGCATTAAAAATTTAGAATTCACTTTACATAGTGCCATGCAATCCAAAAATTAATCAACACTATTTCACACAACACACAATGAAGCTTTTCCAAATTAACCCCTTTTTCCGATTAAAGAACTGTAATTCGTCCATTAATGTCACGTTTCACACAAGACAGAATAAAGCTAAATACGAAATTTCCAGATTTCCCCCTTTTTCCATTTAAACAACTGTAATTCGTCCATTAATGTAACATGACATATCTCATGATCTCTCATTTCCCTCACACAAAATAATGCGTAATCGGAACTGAGTGCTTCTCACATCATTACCAAAGTCCTAGGTAAGTAACCTTTATCGCCTCCAAAATGTCGCCAAACTACCAGTTACCATATTCCAAAGATCAGCCCAAACTTGGTATCTGTATACACATCTATCTATTTTCAATTAAAAAAAAAAAAAAAAAAAAAATTAGAGAATTGCACAAACTAGGCATTGCTTACTCCCTTTACTTTGTCCATGTACACATCAATCTGTATTCACTTAAGAAATCAAAGGAGCAGCCAACAAAAAATATATCATCTCCATAAACTACATTTTAAATAAAGCAATAAAGTAACATAAAAAAGAAATTCATCTTAGGACTATATAATGGAAATATCCACTTATCTTATTTACGAATTTATGTGTCTTCAGTCAAACAAAATTCCTGAACAGCATCCAAAAACTTCCTAAAATTATCTGAACTAGAATCTGCATACTGGCATCGGCACATAAATTCGCAAAAAATATCCTCCGTAGTGCAGGTATTGTTTGACGTTCGACCTTGCGCATTTCCTTTCTACAAACAGGACACTTAATAATGACTACTAAGTAAACCTTCGTTTACACATCAGTTAATTAATGCTTTTTTCCCTTTCGTTCTAAATCGTACAGAAACGTCAAATTAATTTTATCGCATTTAGCCATTTTACCATGTAAACCACAAAATAACATACTACTTATCCAAAATATGGTGCACACTTTCCAAATCTTTATCATTCAAACTGACCGCAATCACGCTACCAATTATGTCATAATAGGGTTTCCATAACATTCAGCTACTAAGGTAAATGGCCATAAATAACTTGGCCATAAATGAAACGGCAACTTGGCGATAAATGAAACAACAAGTTAGCAGTAATCCAAGGGGCACGCTTTAATCTACTCTAACCTATATATTTTTAAACTTGAGTTCATAGAAAGAAGTGGAGATAGGTAATGAAGTTAAAATTTTTAATTTAAATGTAATTTTAACCATTAAAGAAAATGTATGTTTAAGGCAACATTTGGCAGTTTGACTAATTTTTAAGATTTGATACCGAATTGTAATGCTTGAGATTTAAATACAGTATAAAGTCTTTAATCCGGACATCCATAAACTTTCTCCGCATGCGCATAGTACCTTTACGCATGCACGTTTAATGTATAACGGACGGTATAAGCTAGGCTAAAATTATCTAATTATCTATTTCAGTTAATGTTGCAGATTGCGTTGTTCCTTAATCTTCTAATTGAATCCGGCTTATTATTTTTTGCAGACTGTTAGAGCAATTTTATAAAAAAGTAAGCTTGAACTTTCGATTATGTCAAAAAGAGTTTCCAATTCTGGAGCTGCCAAAGGATCTACAAAGCGAAAGCATGTTTCGATATCCATTAAACAAAAAGTGGAATTGCTGCAAAAATTGGATAAAGGCATGAAGAAAGTAGCAGAAAGGTGATTTGTTTCTCTAACCATTCCGAAATCTTTATCAATTTCATGCTGGTCTGTGTGTGTGTGTGTGGGGGGGGGACTTCGTGGTGTGCAATGAACTGGAAGTTGATCTATCAGCACTATCCTAATCTTCTGGGCAGATGTTTTTATTTTATTCGGCTTATAATTCCTTACTAAATGTAGTGTTTCATCTCAATGTACTCCGTCTTTGATATGATTTAAATCAAATTCCTCGTCATTATAAATATCACGAATACACATCAAATA